AATCCCAGGAATCTTTGTCCATAATTGGAAACGCTTGGGCCATGCCAGGACTTCACAAATTTGGGGCATGGTAAGCTTTTGTTTGAGCTTTTAATCCAAACCAGTAGTCAATCCATTACCACCATGTATTTTGGAACATTTTCACTTATCTTTCAGGATTCGTTGGTAATTTTAGTTACATTTTGTGACATGCTATAATAATTGTCTACCAGTGCCATGGACATAGCTTAGCGGTCTAAGCACCCACCTAGGTAAACAAAGGACCCAGGTTCAATCCCTGGTATCACATGCCATGCTGGCCCTTCCGTGAGCATGCAGAGCCAGTCACCAAGACTGGGCATGGTGGTGCACACCTGCAATCCCAGTGCTGGGGAGGCTGAAACAAGAGGATCACTATCAGTCCAAGTTGCATAGTGAGACCTTGTACCAAAAATACATTAAAAAATTAAAAAGTAGAAATAATTGTCCACTACATGAATGAGTTTCTAGAGTGGAGACCAGTTGGTTGGGTCATGGATCTTCCAACTCCCAGACTGCACTCCTGAGCACTCTGACTGGCCCCTGGCATTTCCATCACCACATCTCTCGCTTGTGTAGCAAGTGCATTTCTCTCCTGTTGGACTTAAGATCCCTGAGTGGATACCCTGAATTTTTGCCATTTTATGACAATCTACCTATACATGGTAGAGACTCAAAGAATGCTTATTCCATAAATAAGGGACTGATTTATCCAGATAATTTTAGCCAAATATTGTATACTTTTTACTCACATTTCAAGGAAAGCGCTTATTCCACTGAGCCATCTCCCCGGCCTTACTCACATTTCAAGATAAAGACAAATCTCCTCCTTTCTAGATACAGCAAGATAATCGCCTCAGTTTTCCATGCATGCTTTTGCTATGAGATTATTACCATTACACAGTATTGGGGAAATGAGATACTAGTTATCTTCTCTCGAGAAAGTAACAATAGTTCTTGTAAAAAATAATTCATTATCAAATTAAGCCTCCTTTCTAAGAATTCAGAATTCTCATCAGGTGGGAATGACGATCCCAGCTGGAAGAATGTAAGAGGTGACAACTGAGTAAGATGGTGATTAATGCCACCAGATTGTACAGTTGCATGGCTATATCTGTCTACAGTGTGGTAAACGTGGGAGTTGGCAGTGCAGAGAGACTGCAGAGGCCCACTTGCTGGTGTCCCACTGCCACCAGTGATGAGTCCTCTCCGTGGAGGATGCCGAGCTCACAGGCGGGGCACCACTGGAAAACAGCTGTTTCACATAGAGGGCTAACTTGAGTTTTCCCAGCATTTATCCCCACCGGTCTGCATTATGTCCTGGTGAAAACCTAAGCTCAGCCTCCCCTCTTTCAGGAATAGCCTCCTCTCCTGTACACAGCCTCTCTTTCCCAAGTGAAACTTCCCCTCCGCCCTCTTGATCATCCCAGACTTTCTGTGGAGCCACTTTGGTTTCTCAGTATGGTGTCAAATTGGTCGCAGTACTTCGAATTAGTGTAGAAGTCCATCCTAATGTTAGAGTGCCTGAGACTACCCAAGGTTTGTCACTCATATACTATTGATCAACATGAACTATTACTGCCTTTGGTTACCAAATGACAGGGCTACTTCCAGCACTGACTTACAGCATCACTGTTTATAATTTTTGATTTCCCTCCAGGGTATACGCCAACATCTTAGGAGGTCAGTACTCAGATCAAGCTGGCAACAGAGTAAGAGCTTGGCAGTGGTCAAGTTCCATCACTTCTTCACCCCTCGTTTCATTTAAACCCATCTTCTTGGCTTTGAACCATAATATTGGGATTTGCATCTTAGAGCAAGACAAGATTTCCATCACGTTTTCTAGCAATGGGCCAACAGGCAACCATCAGGGTTGGAACCAAAGTAAAGGCAGGCGCATGATTAATATACTTCAAAGCATTTAACTAATAACAATAAAATAACTTTTGTTAACATTATTGTTAATATGTTATACATAATCTATAGTCCACTAAGAATTTTGAAATTTAATGAAAAATGCACAGTGAAAGTTTCATAGTGAAGCAAGGCAGGCTTACCATTTCTTTTCTCCTGAAATTCCTTTTAATTCAGACTTGAATCCAAATGCTGCATGTGTGTTTACTCTGTGACTGAGTAGTGTTACTTGGAAGGTTTTAAGATTCATATTCCATCATACTCTCTTCTGCTATGGCAGAAAAACTCTGGGCTGGGCTAGGTGTCATGAACTTTAATCAGACACGCAAGGCCAAGCCTAAGCCAGCCTCCTGGGAGCTACCTCCCAGAGCTCAGACACTTGCGACTGGTCAGTGACAAGCACATACCTCTGAATTCTCCACCAGCTTGCTCGGTCCCTGTGCTCGCCGACTCGGGCTGCCTTTGTTCCTTCTCCCTGTGTCCCTAACCCTGCCATCCCTAGTGCCTGGCTAAAGGCCCTGTGCTGTGCCCTCTCAGTGGCTGGCAGTCGTATACAGTGGGTGAAGACAGAAGCTTCGCAACCCAGTTCCTAGTTTCAGTCCTCATCTCTGCCACCCTCTCAGACAAGGAATTGAATTTGAGCTTCAGGTTCTCATCCATCAACAGGGTAATGATTCCAACCTCACATGTTGCTGTGCACATTCAATAAGCAGGTACTAAGTGTGATGCTTGAATACTCAGTGAGCAGTAACCAGGGGCAGACAGAGATGGAAATAGAGATTACAGTGTTTCTGAACACATAGATAACACATAGAGACACTTTCAGCAAGTTCCCTTTGACTCTGAGGACCTCTGTTTAATGCATTTTTAAAATTTTATTTATGGGCTGGAGAGATGGCTCAGTGGTCTAAAGCACCTACTCAAAACAAGCTTAGCAAAGCACAGGGACCACGGTTCAATCCCCCAGCACCACATGCCAGCCAGCCCCGCCCCCTGGTGGGCTGAGCTGGCCACACACACATACACACACACACACACACACACACACACACACACACACACATAAATAAATAAATAAATAAAATTTAGAAACCAAGGCCTCTCGGGGGCCTGGCCCTAGCTCAGGCCTTTAAGTGGCTGCTTCCACAAAGCTGTCAGCCTCAGGTTGCTGGAGTTTGAACCTCACACCTCTCCTGCTGGCCAAAAGTGCCCTGAAGGCATTCGAGGAAAAAAAAAAAAAAAAAAAGAAACCAAGGCCTCTCAAGGCCGGGGAGATGGCTCAGTGGAATAAGCGCTTCCCTGGCAAGCGCAAAGGCCTGAGTTCAATCCCCAGTTCCGAAAAAAAAAAAAAAAATTTTTTTTTTTTTTTCTGTACTGGGGATTAAGCTCAGGATCTTGTGCTTGTAGGCCCTGTTTAATACATTTTTAAGGGAAGAGTTTCCTGCAAACTTCATGAGTGTATTCAACTCCCTGAAACCTATATTTTTAAGTGTATGGAAATATGACTTCAATATTTAGCACAGGCAGGATAGCCAATGGCTATCGCACACCAAAAAGATGTCAGATTCAGGAACACAAAGTGACAGTCCACAATGTGCTACACACTCAATCTAGCCACTATCATCAGGTGTTTAGGCACGAGACAAAATTCAAGCTTCTTTCTAGGCTAGGCTCTTATAGTATCATCTCCTTTGTTGCATTATATCATTCTAAGTATGTATGCTGTGCTCTCTCCTCCTCTGTGTCCTTTTTCTCTTCCTCTTCACTGTTTTTTGTTAGTTTTTAGTTTGTAGTAGTACTCATCACCCAAGAGTTAAAAACATATTACAGGGCTATTCTGCATGTTTGTAGCAGCACAGTTCCTAATAGCTCATTCTCAGAAGTCTCCCAGAGCCAGAAGGTAGACACCTCATCGCTCTGAGCACCCTCACTCAGCTCTTTAGCACATTCTATGTCATCCACTTCTAATAAAGTCTTCTCACATCTCTTTATTTTCTAAAAAAAAAAAAAAAATGAATGGATAATGAGAATGTACAGTGTGTGCATTATAGAGCAGGACTCCGGAAAAGATAGAGATAAACTTGAGTCATTTGTAGGATGGTGGGTACATCTTGAGATGATAATGTTAAGCACCACAAGCACAGGCCCCACCCCCGGGTATGCTGAGCCAGAGACCAAGTTCGGGCGTGGTGGCAAACGCCTGTAATGCCAGTGCTGGGGAGGCTGCAAACAGGAGGCTCACTATGAGTCCGAGCTGCGTAGGCAGACTCTCTACTAAATACATACATGAAAAAAAAAAGTTAAGTGAAATAAATCAGATGCACTAAGCTTAAATATTGCATAGTTTATCTTATATAAAAAATCCAAAATATAAATGACTTAAAGAGAAACATAAAAGACTGATAATCAGAAAGAGGGAGACAGATCTTCTGCAAATGGGAAAAGAACCAGGAGCAGGAGTGAGGGAGAAGGGAAGAGGCAGGGGAAGTAAGAATTCAGATGTGTTATGGATGTGTGCCACCTGCCCACGCTGATCCTGAGCTTCCTTTCTCTCTGCTGCGAAGCTGCCGCACCCCGAGGAGATCCCGGTCCTCTGGTACCTGAGCGGAGAGGACCTTCTGCTGCTGGCCAGTATAATAAAGATTCGATGGCTGTTTCATAAGCTAGAAGGATGCATGAATTTTCCCTCAAGCCAGATTTGGGAAAAATTAAAGCAGCCTACCTACCTTTCTTCACTTTCTCTAAAGCTGATTGCCCTCTGTCAGAATCTTACAACAATTCTAGACATAGTAAGTGAAAATATTTAAAAAGAATAATGATGCCTCCATTTTCTCAGAGTTGCTTTTCCTTTTTGTGTGCATGGGGGTGGAGGTGGTCACTGGAAAGGCTGATTGGTTTTTTTGTTTGAGTGTTCCAAATGATAAGGGAATACCGGAGATTGCTGGCTTATAGGTCTAGAACACATCCTGGGTCACTACTGGCTTGACTTCTTGGTTGGAAAAGTAACTAGCTACTCACTAGGAAGCGAGCAAATCAGCAAAGTGTTGGTGTCTATTGAAGAACAGACAGCCCAGAGGGAGTAGGTGTTGGCCAGTCCCCTGGAGAGCTGGCAAGGAAAAGCCCCGCTGGCCTTCAGGAAGGCCAGAGGGAGAGGAAGTGAGGGAAGCCACAAAGTCACCACGGATGATCTTAGCTGCCCGGAGTGCCACTGAAGACTGGTAGGAAATCTCCCAGAAGTCCTGCAGCATCTGTCACTCCATAGGGCTGGAAATGAAAGAAACCACCACATGCCTGTATAGCTCCTTCTCCTGAACAAAGGCTCCTCCCCCTCAGCTACCTTGCCAACACTTCAGGCAGATGCCTCTTGGTGGGGAATCACTTGAGAAGCAGCTAGCAAAGCTGCAGAAAATTACGTATTTCTCCACTTCCTGGGTTATGGCGGAGGGAAGAGGGATATTGCTGAATCCCCTCACTCAGGTTGACCTAGAAGAGCAGAGCTGAGAGTTGGGGTGTAGGGGCTAAAAGCCCACAAGGTACACCTGAACCCTGCAGCTCCTGCACTTCTGCGACTTAGTTCTATGTCTTTTGAGAGGAAGAGATGCAGTCTGAAGGGACAGGGGTATATCACGTTTGGCACTAATATGTAACAACAGGGATTCAACTTACCCACTGCTCATAACATAATCATTCATACAAAACCATTTATTTTCCTAACAAGGCTCAATGGAAAGGAAAACACTAAGTGGAAGCAAGGAGAATTCCACATTGCGGTGCTGCTAGAAGAGGGACCTGGTTCTTGTGACTGAACCATCAGTTACCTCTTCTCCCATCCCCGGTGCCTCTCGTTAGCCTGTTTGTAGGAACTGCATTAATAATGAGGACTGTTTTGTCCTTTTTTTTTCATTTCCATTCTTCCTAATCCTCATTTCTATCTTTGTGAAAAAGCATAGTCCTGGTAAATGTCTTTTAATGCTATATCTTAATGCTAAATGTCTTTTCTTTTTTGCCTTAGCTTTTTCCTTCTAACTGTTGAGTGACCTTTTAATTTCCATTAGGTAAAATAGATGTATTAAATTGATTGATCTAATATATATCTGTATAGCTCTAAAACAAAAAATCACTTCACAACAAAACCATAATTAAAATCTGTGGTTTTTACTTCACTAAAAACTACTTTTAGGGGTTGGGGGTTGGGGAGATGGCTCAGTAGAATAAGTGCTTGCCTAGCAAGCTCAAGGGCCTGAGTTCAATCCTCGCTTGTGCTTGCCAGGGAAGAACTTATTCCACTAAGCCATCTCCCCAGCCCCAAATTATCTTGATTTTAATAAATTATTGTCACATGTGCTAAAAATATACGTTGCTTTTTTAACATTTTATTAAATATAAAAATGTTTCCTAAAGAGAAAATATGGATGCCACTCAACTTACACTAGTTTAGTGTCACAATTTTTCAGGTTTGTGCTGGTCCAAAAGCGATAAGCATTCAGTAGGTGCTGCACTTAGAAATTTGAATTCTGGCTTTTGTTCCCCTGGGCTAGCAGTGAGCAGGACAATATTCTTTGGAGACACTGGGCAGCTGTGAACCGCAGCTGCAGAGTCAGCCTCATAAGCAGTAGGATCAGCAGCTGAGTCTACGGTGGACAGCCAGTATTCGGGGATACTGCATTTAGTATTTTTTCATTGCATCGTGTCTCAAAATGCCCAAGTATGTGCTCATGAGCTATAAAACACTTCATTAGCAAAGAGGCTTTGTGTGGGCAGGCAAGATAGCTCAGCAGGCTAAAGCATCTACTTAGGCAAGCTCAGGGACCGTCATTCAATCCCCCACACCACATGCCACTCCAGCCCCAGGGCAGCCTGAGCCTGCCAGAGTCCAGGCGTAGAGGCACACGCCTCTAATCCTGGCACTGGGGAGACTGAAAGCAGGAAGATCACCACAAGTCTGAGTTGTGTAGTGAGACCCTACAACAACCCAATACAAAAAAAAAAAAAAAGGCTTTCAGCTTTCGGCTAGGAGGAGGCTAAGGTGCAACTTTCTTCGGTCGTCCCGAATCCGGGTTCATCCGACACCAGCCACCTCCAGCATGCCGCCCAAGTTCGACCTCATCGAGATTAAAGTCGTGTACCTGAGGTGCACTGGTGGTGAAGTTGGCGCCACGTCTGCCCTGGCCCCCAAGATCGGTCCCTTGGGTCTGTCTCCAAAAAAAGTGGGGGATGACATTGCCAAGGCAACTGGTGACTGGAAGGGCCTGCGGATCATGGTGAAGCTGCCCATTCAGAACAGACAGGCTCAGACTGAGGTGGTGCCTTCTGCCTCTGCCCTGATCATCAAAGCCCTCAAGGAGCCACCAAGAGACAGACAGAAGCAGAAAAACATTAAACACAGCGGAAATATCACTTTTGATGAGATTGTCAACATTGCCCGACAGATGCAGCACCAGTCTTTAGCCAGAGAACTTTCCAGAACCATTAAGGAGATCCTGGGGACCACCCAGTCTGTGGGCTGCAACGTGGACAGCCAGCACCCTCATGACATCATAGAGGACATCAACAACGGCGTTGTCGAGTGTCCAGCTAGCTAAGAAGCAAAAGAAAATATATCAATAAAGAGATGATCTGACAACCAAAAAAAAAGAGGCTTTGTGTTAGATTTTGCCCAACTACAGACTTACAGATGGTCTGGAGCATATTTAAATTGGGCTAGATTAAACTCTGGTACTTTGTTAGGTTATGTATATTAAATGTATTTTCATCTTAAAATATTTTCAACTTATGATGAGTTTGACCAAGATATAACTCCATTAGAAATTGAGGGTCATTTACCTGTCTGCACTGTTGGTGTCATATTTCAAAGCAGTTATATTTATTCAATGTAAACTCTTCTAGCTCTAAAGCTGTCATGTGGTAATATTACATTGAGGAAAAACTTGATATATTTTTCCTGAAGTAAATGTTAAATTACTGATGCACTTAAAGCTTAATGTGGAGCCAAGCATAGTGGGTCTCATAAGGTTTCATATCCTAAAAGAAGAGAATGTCAAGATAAAGCACCCATTTACAAGCTAAGCAGAATGCCCAGCCCAGCTAGCCAAATTGCCCCCAAGAAGCCCAAATAACCCAAGCCAAAAAGAGGAAAACATCACAGGATGTCAAAAATAGAAAAGAAAAAAAAAAAAAAAGGGAAGGTCACTAGGCAACATGAATACAAGATAAGGACCTGTTGGTCACCTGTATTATCTGGGGGAGTCAGTCCTGGCATTCTCATTGAAACACCCCGCAGAGATGGAAACAAGCGACTTCTCTAGATTTACAAACTACAGATTTGAAAATCTTCTTTTTAATTGTTCACCTTTGCCAGATTTAAGCTGGGGATGTTCCCAGGAGGTCTGGCTAGACATGTTAAAAAAGGAAAACATGTATGCTTATGACAAGAATTTCGAAGTTCTGCACTGTGACCTAGAGCCACGGATGAGATCGATACTTCTAGACTGGCTTTTAGAAGTATGTGAAGTATACACACTTCCTAGGGAAACATTTTATCCTGGACAAGACTTTTTTTTTTTGATAGATTTATGTTGACACAAAGGAATACAAATAAAACATGCTTCCACTTACTGGAATTACTTCACTATTCATTACTTCCAAACTTGAGGAAATCTATGCTCCCAACTCCCAAGAGTTTGCTTATGTCACTGATGGTGCTTGCAGTGAGGAGGACGCTGTAAGGATGGAACTCACTATACTAAAGGCTTTAAAGTGGGAGATTCACCCTGTCACAGTCACCTCCTGGTTACCTCTCTTTCTCCAAGTTGATGCTCTTAAGGTTGCTTCTAAAGTACTTCTACCTCAGTGTTCTCAGGAGACCTTCATCCACACAGCCCAGCTTTTGGACCTGTGTATTCTAGCTGTTGACTGATTAGAGTTCCAGGACAGAATACTGGCTGCAGCTGCCCTGTGCCATTTCACCTCTATTGAAGTGGTCAAGAAAGCCTCAGGTTTGGAATGGGACATTTTGGAATGTATACATTGGATGGTGCTTTTGGTCAGTGTAGTAAAAAGCGCTAGTCCAGTGAAGCTGAAGACTTCTAAGAAGATACCGATGGAAGACAGACATAAAATCCAAATGCATACAAATGATTTGGTCCTGCTAGGTGAAGTCATTTTATATAGACACCTTCAGGAAAGGAGACAGCTGTCACCAGTTTGCGACAGAGGCATTATGACACCACCAAAAAGCACAGAAAAGCCACCAGGAAAACACTAAGCAAACAAGTTGGAATTGAACAATATTAGCTTGAATCTACTAAAGTTTTACAAGAATACACCTTTGATTATCATTGCCAACTCAGACATTACACTGCCATTCTTTGATTTGAAAACACTTAAGATTGGCACTAAAGAAGTGTACTTGCTGGGTTAGTTGTTAAAGAAGCAGCAGGACATGTTTACAAAGGGACTTCATTTCTAGGGTTAGTGGACAGAAGCCAACCACAATTTACGCCATGGCAATTGTTTTTTGTTTTTGTTTTTGTTTTTTTAGATCAAGTGTTACTGTATTTGTCTGTCTTGATAAATGGGACTTTTATCACTGACTTTTTAGACTAGGTAAGTCCTGCCTAACCGAGTACATTAAGTGATGCAGTACTCTGAATCTAGCTTTTAGAGCCGTAAATTCCTATACCCTTGACTAGTGCAATTTGGTTTTTGAAAATAAAAATTTAAATTTGTTTTTCAAAAACTTAGTTTCGTAATAAGGTGACTTATCTAAAGCTGTTGTAGGAAGCTATTATAAAACTTGCCCTTTATAAGTGGTAAAATTAGTTGTTAGCTAGTCTGACTTATATTTTTAATCAGTACATCCATCCATGAATATGATGTTTAAACAGCTCTAAACAGTGGGGTACAAAGAAATTGTACCAAGACAAATGCTGTGGCTCCTACTTGGGGCTTTATTAGGCATAGGGTTGCTTTATCATAACTTCTTTTGTATATCACAATTTGGGTGAAAAACTTAAGTACCTTTTCAAACTACTGATATGACAAGGTCACCTTACTACTCTAAGATACTAGTGTAGATTTTTTTAAACTTAGCATGACTAAGGCTTTATTTGTATTTCCAAAACTGTTAAAGGTCTGCTTTAAATTCCTACATTATGAGATGCAACAGCATCAAAAGTGAAAGTTTAACATTTGCCCTAAATTTCTATTTTCTTAAGACAGAAAAATATCAAATGTGTACTGACTTCTAGAAATCTATTCATTAAAAAAAAAAAAAAAAACCTGACATGGAGTTGGCTATATAAAAACTAGCTACTATTTTAAAATAGCATAACTATTTTAAAGTAGATTTAAGTAGAAAGTTATATCAGACTGCTAGTTACCAGACATGTAAACCTCTTCTACCTTTGAAGAAACTGTAAATTAAAGCTATTGTTATGGTATGAAGTCTTCTATATAGTTTTTGTTTTTAAATAAATTTTTCAGTATTTTGTCTGAAAACACCACTAAATGTGTTCATAAGCATTATATAAATAAGCTTTTAATGCTATTTTTAGTCCATTGTTTAAAAAGAAAAGTGAAACATTTTTAACAGCTTCGAAGGAAAAATATAGCTTAAAGAAGTATTGTCTCTTTTTATTCCTGACCTCAGGATTATGAATTATTATTTTCTTTATATGTTATTTAATTTACACGTTTTGGACGGACAAAATGGTCATCTTTTGAGAATATATAAATGAATCTCAACATTACTGGTGGGTTAAGACGTTTTGCTCCAGGTAAACACGGCAGCAAAGTGTGTTTGGCAAAGCCATATGGGGATTAAGACGTCAAAAGTATCTCCAGAGTACTTACCTGCACAAATTTCTTGGAATATACAAGTAAAAATGATTTAGGCTACACTTCGTTAGTAGCTTTTCTTGCTAACAAAAATACTGCCAACTCTTTGTAGATAATTTGGAGATTATAGGAACATACAGAGATTTGTAAAACATGCATAATCCTGACAACAGGGATCGCCATCTTTCTGCTGTT